GAAAAAAGAAAAAAAATTCCCCTCCCTCTGTTGCTTCACGCCTGCCGCTGCTCCCCTGAGATCCAACCTTAATTTCCAGTGATCTTCCTTCTCCCTCGAATCTCTCACTGTATTTGAAGCCTTAATCTACTTTCGGTTGTCTCCTCTCCGGCGAGCTTCCACTTAGCGCCGCTGAAATTGCGAGGTTCCGATCGTCTCCTTCGTGGTTGCGTTAACAAGGAGAGCTCTGAGTTTCTGGTTCACCAGTATTTCTCCTTCTCAACGATTGGGCACATTGAAGGTGCGTTCTCTTTCTTCTCTTTTCCCTCACTCCCTCCCTCCTTCTAGATTAGGGCAAATATTCTGAAATATCCCTTTCACCAGGCCAATTTTTTTGAAGTTATTCCATATCAATTACTTGCTTTTACAGATTATTCCATATCGATTACTTGCTTTAGGCTTTTTTAAAAAGAAAATGCTTCTACTATCTAATCAAACACAAACATTTGAGTTAAAAGATGAATGTGGGACCGCACACCACCTGTTCGACGAAATGTGTGAACCAAGTAATTGGGGTAGGAGCCGGGGGGGAGTGGCAACCGAGTAACTAACACAAGCTAATTCGAACTCTTTGGGGAATAATATGTCCCATAGGTAAAGCCATCATCTTAGATGCAATGCTTAAAATTTCCCATCCATTGGGACAGCCGATAACACTAACTTCCACAGCTCCTTGTTGTCGAAATAGTATTGAGCCTGTTATTCATGAATAAATTATAGCCATTTTTAACTTTGTATAGTTATAGTCCATTACTTTCGTAGTGCCATATTGGGCACGTAGCTGATTGGTGGTGGGTCTTAGCAGTAACTTGGAAAGGCTTATAGAATAACTTTTCACGATGTCCGATGATGGTGGGAAGATATTTTGGGATCTTATAATTTGTGTTGCTTCTTCCTCCTGGAATGCCGTCTCAAATTACTTTTATTAAATTGTAAGTAATCAGAATCACACATTTTCTTCTTTATCAGCCAATTGGAAAGGTTTTTGTAATAGGATCTTTTCCTAGAGAGTGTCTTCCTCTTTTCCTCTCTATAGCTTCAAATTTTCGATGAAATAATCATGTTTCCTATGAAAAAGAAAAAACAAATTAGTCTATTGAATGCGATTTAGCAGTTCCTCATCTAACATTAGAGGAAAATACCCGAACAGCGAAAAGGGGTTTGGAAGCGTAAGCATGGATTAATACTTTCCTCTTACCAAGATTAGCTGTGTAGATTAAGAAGGTTCTACTTCTATATATATGACACTTTTCTCTTGTCATCTTGAAAGGTTTCGATTAGGGATAAAGTTTCGGATCTATCCATTTTTAGTTATGCAACCCCCCAAAATTTGAGTGGCTTTACTTGAACCTGTACGTATGTAAATGTGAGAATGGTTAAGCTTGAAAGCTAACTAAAGCCAAGGGAGAAAGCAAGAAGTTTGCTTGAATCAGAATGCAAGTTAGACTTTAAGATTTTGTTTGTTTTTGCATTTGTATAAAAAAAGCTGAGTTCTACAGCACATCATAACACTGTTTATTCATGTATGAATACAAATTTTTTAGCTTTCAAGTGTAAATGATAATGCCGTTTCTGTTTCTTAGTGTTGGCTTAGTAATTTTTTTTGTAATTATTCAATTTCTGATATTTGGGCTAATTGGAGCTCATTCTTGACTTGTAAGTTCTCTTCAGTCATATATTTGCATGGCCAGGTAAACTTAACTTACAAGTTAATGGTAGTCTAGCAGGGTGTGGATCTATCTGTCTATGATGCTTCTTAGACTGCTTCTTCCAAATACTTCGGTATTTGCATGGTTTGCCACTTGTAATTAAAAGACAGGATTATAATTTTCAGATTTAGCTTTCTTAGTTTTTTAGTAATTTTCTGTATGTCTATTCTTTCCTTGAGGAAAATGTGTGCTTCATGAGTTATATTCACTTTTTCACAGGAACCAGTAGAAGACAGTAAAAATGAGCAAGTATGGCTTGCAGCTTAGGGTTAAGCCATCGCAGCAGAAGCAGCCTACAAGACCACCCCTTCCTCCTTCCCTGGGATTTCAAGATGATGATGATAATGATGTCGAGAGAGAGATATCCCGCCAAGCTACTAAGAATAAGGCCCTTAAGGATGTAAGCTAGCTTGTACTAGATGACTTTTTTTTTTCCCTGTGTGTTGGTACTTTTCCATCACCATTAGCAGCTATTTATTAAGCTAAGATAATGTCATTAACAAGAATCTCGAAGTTGTATGCTTATTCTAGCCTTATTTCTGATTCCCTTGAAAAATAAATTTAGATTGAGGAGCAACACAAGAAAGCATTAGAGGAGGATCCATCTGTTTTTGACTATGATGGTGTCTATGATGAAATGAAAGAAAGGATGGTTCAACCTCGAGCACATGATCGTGAAGAGAGAAAGGTATGTCATAGTTTGGTTCCTAACATGCTTGATTCCTTTGTTTTCTTTTCAGATTTTTTCTGAAGGGTTTAATTAATCATATAAGTTTTATTATCTTGATTTCACAAAAGGGATAAACTTTTCATTGTTAATTCTTTAGTATGTGCCATTTACTTCACTATTCTTTGGAATATTTGGTAGGAGAAAAATAAAAATGTTTTTAAGAGCATAGAAGGGTCGTGGGACTAGGTTTATTTGGTCCGTTCAAGATCTTCCTTTGGGTTTTTTCAACTAAATTAAATATCATTGTTTTTGATTCAGGAATTAGAGTTTCTTTTAAGGAGTTGGAGTTTATTTTGGTAATTCTTATTGTTGGCTTCTTTTCATTTTGGGGCTTGTGTTTTTGTTTGACCCCTATTCTTGTACTTTTGTTCATCCTAATGGAAGCTGTTGGAGTTGTGAGCTTTGTGATTTAGACTAACGGCCTGGCTCTTTGAAGACAACTTTTATGCCTAACTAATTATTGGATTAAAAGCTGTTAAATAGTTTGGTTATGAGATTCTTGGACACATGTAGAAAAAGAAAAAGAAAAGTATAAATGGAAATGGTAAGATATAAAAACTACTCCAATATTTTCTATTGCAGTTCACCTAGAGTTTTAGTCTTTAGTTCAGAAGTCTCAACAGAAAATTATCTGCTGGAAAACTGATTAGAACTTTATTCATCTTGGTAGGTAATTGATGCAGCTGGATTTAAAATAAGTAAACATAACCAAAACATTGAATCCTACTAGATTTGAAATAGGACTTAGAATCCAATTAGATTTAGGATTTCGAGAAACCGAAGGAGCTTTTACCTAACTATTACTCATTGTGTCTAACTAAAAAAATTATCCTAAAACTTAACAAAATATAAAAATTTAGGCCTAGAGAAAACCAAAAATATATAAAAATACAATATCTCATTGTATTTGACCCTAATCCAATTATATTACTATAGTCAAAAGACTCAAAACACTTACTGGCTCACTGCTTTTCTATTGCAGCCTAAGTACATCCAAAATTTGATGAAAAAGGCAAAAGAGCGAGAAAGGGAGCAGGAGATCATATATGAAAGAAAACTGGCCAAGGAGAGAAGCAAAGAGGATCATCTTTATGCTGGTAAGGACAAATTCGTCACTGGTGCCTACAAAAAGAAACTTGCAGAACAAGCTAAATGGATGGAGGAAGAGCGTCTCCGACAACTTCGGGAGGAGAAAGAGGATGTATGTACAGTTTTTTTCATTCTGTCTTTTCTAAATTTATTTACTTTTATGATTTTATGAAATGTCTTGTGTAGTGTCAAAATGAGCAAGTGTATGTTCTAATGTGATTTCCCTGATTTTCGTAACTGCTAGTTTGCTGGTGTTCACATACTAGTTTGTTTATGGTCTTTGGTACTGTAATATCCTACCCCCCTTGGCTATATACAGTGTACTGATTTGGGATAGTACTATTCTTGCATCCCGGCTGTTTATATCCACGCAGTCAACCATATTGTAGTCCTGTAGGCCCAAGTAAGCATAATCCAACTTGTTTCTATTGCATCCACTGGGATTCGGACTTGAATCCTCCCCCTTATGAAAGTAAACTAGGTCTTTTTACTGGTTTTGCAACCATGCTGAACATGCTGATAAAAATTATTTTATTGCAAGTTTCTCTAGAAGCTAGTAGAATACCTAAGGTTTCCTTCAAGGTTCCCACCACCTTTTTCAAGAAATAATCATTGGGTAGGAATTGGAGTTAGGGAAGGTGCATATAGAAATTTAAGCAGGGAGTTTTGGAAGTGGCGTTGGGTCCATATTTAGGCTGTATTAAACCAAACAAAAGGATATCTGTGAAGAATGGATAAATTGACTAAATTCTAATCGCAAATGGAGTGGTGGACCAGAAAAGGTGGCAAAAAGAGAAGCTTCTTCATAAGCTAGATTTTAAAGAGGCAGAAAACCTCTCTCTAATTGGTTTTGGTAGAGACATTGGATCTCCATTTGTTTCTCAAAAAATAATTTTCCCATTTGATCAATGGTGGAGGCCAAGAATGAAACTTCGGACTACTAGGGGCAAGAATAATTCCTCTTTATCATTATACATAACGATGGTGCAATGCACATCTCTATGATCTCCTTTATGGGTTATCTTTAGGATAGCGTTATACTTTCAGTAAATGTGTGTTTTCCATCGACTGCCAATTAACTGATTGTTCTTTTTCCTGCTATTTTTGAAGGTTACCAAAAAGAGCGACATTAGTGACTTTTACTTCAACCTTCAAAAGAATATTGCCTTTGGTGCCGAAAATGCAGTCAAGTCAAGGGAACCTCCAAAGCAGCTTCAGTCAGAGGAACAAGAGAAGCATTCTGAAGTCAGGGAATTGGAAAAGCATGAAGAGAGTGCAAATGCTGATACGTCTAATAACTCTCAGTCTTCGAAACAATCCAATTTACCTTCCCAGTCTGCCAAGATGGTTGAAGAGCATCCTGAAGAAGACTTTTTGGTTTCAAACAAAACAACACCATCTGATGTCAGCCCCCCTTCGTTACATGATAAAACCTCAGTTCAGGAGCAACCCAAGCACGGCCAAGGTGAACAACAACCAAAGCGCGACCATCATAAAAGAAGTGAAGATGCTGTCACTGCTGCAAAAGAGCGGTTTTTGGCTCGAAAAAGAGCCAAGGATGTGTGAAATCCTTGTTGAGCTAGATTAAACTGAGGGCAAATATGTACATGTTACTGTTGTATCTAGGATAGTTGATTATTATGTTCTTAACAGTAAAATCTTTTAATGTTTAAGTTTGTTTTTGAGTTTTGGCTGTGACATTACATTTTTGCTTTTATGGTCCATATGAAATTCCATGTGTTACTGATTGGGAGAGCTACGGATGAATCCCGATGAACGAGCTGCTCGAAGTTACGGCTTATTCTTCGTCAAGAGTAAGTAAACTTCCCCTTAATAGAAACAAAGATCAAAGGTATCACTTGTTAACTGAAACAAAATAGCCTTAGTTTTGGAACATTTTTTACTACTTTCTCCCTTTTTGTCATAAATTGACCAATGCTATATTTAGGTTGTTAAATGGCCCCCACAACAGTTCTTTTTTGGGTCACATTGCATTGAAACTTGCACGTGATGATTGCACACGATACATGAACCTCCAAATCTGCTTTCTTCTTGCATTTAATGATGGAATGTTATTATGAAACATGTGAATTGTTATTAGAAGTTGGACATAATTTCCCCTGCCTTTGCCTAGCATGCCAAATGCATTAAGTTGGAAGCAAATCGTATAAAGTAGAATCTTCTGAACTTTATATTCAACCAACTCTTTTATCATCAGGATATGGAAAGATTCTCCAACTTTGTTTGGACCCAAAAATTGAATGAAGCCCCTCAACTAAGCCATAATAGAGGAACTCAAATTTATATCTCCAACCTACACAACAATTTCTTAAGATAACTAAAGCAACTTTGCTTTGTTTGGAAGTCTATCCTTCATAAGGAATGCATTACACTTTTGGAATACAACATGCCTCTAATTAGTGAACTGAATATTCTCATCTTTAATGGCAGGTACACCATGTCTCAAGAGGTTGATGCTAAACAAAATGATACGAAGCGGGTCTAGAGTATTGGCAGCATCGCTAAACAGTTACTTTCATACTCGATTTGGCTACTCTTCGGTATCGACATCTTGCATTCTGTATATTATCATTCTTATCATTATAGCTTCTCGACTCTCGACTCGTGCATCATAGTAAAATTTTCCTAACAACTCTATTTCAACTTCTTTCTTGCCTTCTAGGTTCTTGAATTCTTAACCATAGTTTTTTCTAGAGTGCTCTTGCTATGACATTTATTACTCTAGATGTGTGAAAGCATAAATAGTTTTAGTTGCAAGCCCTCGAGTTATTACGTTCTTGGATTTTGTTGTTCTTATCACTCGTGGTAGGTTAGTGAATTAAGTTCATTAAGTTGACAAGCTAGTCATAACATAAACTTGTGGATTAGAAGCCATACGTATCCATTTCAAAGAAGTTATTGAGATGATTTTCAAAACCAAGTTGGATTTTCCAACCGGCAAAAACATAAAGGTCAATATTCAAACTTTGTATTAAATGATAACTTAGACCTTATAATTGTATGCTCCTCCACGTTTTGCCGTCTACTTCTTCCTTCACTTCTAAATAATATCTTCACATCATATTATAAAAGCAAGATTTCGTTTGCCCTTTTTTTCTCTGTTCATTCTCCTTCTCCATTTTTCCATTGAAGTGTTCAGCTCTGAATTATGGGTCGAAGCCTCAGCAGCTCGAAGCCCGAACCGACACCGCAAGATCCGTCTCTTTCGGTGGCGTCGAATGACTCGGCAGATAGCGGTGGAGACGCAACGGCGGCTGCGGCCATGGTGCTGTTGGGATGCACTCGGTGTCTCATGTACGTCATGTCGTCTAAGTTAGATCTCAGGTGTCCCAAATGCAACAGCACCTCCGTGCTCGACATGTCGGCCAATGTTTCTTCTACCAGAAAATGATATGGGGTTCTGTTTTATGCATGATATCCCACCTTCGTTTCTTAAATTTCTTTACCTACCTTCTTTTTTTTTTTTTTTTTTTCCTTTTTCTCTTTCTTTAATTCATTCGTAATGTGGTGATCATTTGATATTGGTTTTAATCATACTATTCCAATTTCATTGTGTAAATGTTGTAGTTGGAGGAAATTTCATATCTTTGTTAGTGGTGTTCATCGGTTGGATATACTTTTAAATTCAATCAAACTGTTTGGGGCTGTATATTTATTCAACCAAAACCATTCTTATTAAATAATGAATCAAACACAAGTCCAACTATGAAATATTTAGATTGAGTTGGTTTGAGTTATTCGGATCATGCATTCAAAGTATTATAAAAAAAGTAAAAGCCGTCAAAACATTCATTTACATATTTTCTAAGTTCTAACATTGAATCAAGATCCTTTAGTCAATTTTTATTTATACAGTGAAAAAGTACACTAAAAAGACTTTAAAAGTAGTAAAAGAATTAATTTTAAAACCAATAATAAGTGCGTGTTGTTTCGGTTTAACTCAAATTTATTTTGAACAAATTTATAATCCAACTCAAATCTAATTTTTTTTTTCCAATTCATCTAATTTTTTGAACACTATTGAACATATGACTTATTTATTCAAGCAATATCAAAAAAATAATTGACCCGATTTTGTTATTTTGACCAATAAATATTGATATATTCAATTTCTAAAATTTTAAATCTAAAATATTTTCGATCAATTTCAACTTTGTAGTCACTTTCAGTTAGTTTGATTTTTCAAAATGTTGGTCGTGGTAGAGAGAAAGTAGGAGAGAGTGGGGAGATATTAGAGAGGGAAAAAAGTGTCGTGGAGAGAAAAAGTAGAGAAAAAAAAAATATATATCATATCATATCATCATGTAGAACGAATATTGGGATCATAAAACCATCCTTGACAAAAACTTAAATTTAACTATATATATATATATATAATTGTTAGCATAATAATATTTTTAACAAGTTTTTAAGCTTTCAAGGTCATGTAATTGTAGGATGACCAAATTTATATGTATTATGGAAGGTAATTACCACTTAAATATACTTTTTTAATAAAAATATATCTATGATTATGTACAAGTTCGAGATCCTTTCAAATAGACATGATTTTTTAACGTCCATGCAATAGAAACATAAAAAGCATTATATAGCATTCAACACAGTCTATTTAACCTAAGTTTTCTTCTCGAAAGATCCAACTCATGTCACATGATAAAAATAGTTTATAGGGTTGAAATTAATTTTAATGCTACTTTTTTTTTAGTAAATAAAAATCTCTAGAAGCATTATTCTGCAAATAAAAGTATATCTTTGTTTGCAAAAGTTTTATGTATTTGCACAAGAAAAAGAAACCTCACACCCAAGATGAAGGTATAGGAGGAAAATTAAAACGATCAATGGAGCTCCAAACAAGCAAAGTTTCAAGAAAACACAAAATGACAAAAAAAAGAAAAAGAAAAAGGAGGTCATGGGTATCGAAACCACACAAAATAATATAGTTAAGGTTCGAATGCTCATACGTACTCATTTTTCGAGCTAATCATGTATACGTATACCACTTAAATAAACAATAAAAATAGGTTGAAAATACTGAAAAATGGTGTCATGGATGGAAGCGTCTCTTTTAGGAGTGGTTGATGTGCTTAATCTATCAACTCTTTCACTATCACCTCCAAAACAACCAAATTCCGCTAAAGTTGCTTGAGTATGTTTAACCTCGAGATTTAAAATCACTACTTATATACGTGGCATTGTATAGAATAATAAATGACATATGTCACCAAAACTATTCCACAAAAAGAAAAAGAATGTTTTTTTAACTTCCTTCTTCACTTAACCCAAGCCAAGTCGATGACTTTCAATCTAGTCATATGGTTGACTATCAAACGAGATTTAAAAGCTAAATATATAATTATTTTTTAAAAAATAATTCTTGTGGAATTACCAAGAACATTGAATTCTCCCACGTTTACAATTACCCTTAATTAAAAAAGAGAAAAAAGAAAAAGAAAAATGGATAACAGCATGACCACTCCACTAGGAAAGTGGCACGAGGACAGGAAAAAGTGGGCCCACTATCAAATTTGTTAACGCCACACCCATTTTTTAAACTCACTATTTAATTAAAAAAAGAAAAGAAAAAAAAAATCAGAACCCAATTTGGACCGAGTCACCTCGCTCACTCTCCGAGTCAAAGATTCAAAAACGCGTTCAAAGCCAAAATACACTGTATCTCCATTTCCCATCCTCGAAGCTTCCATTAAAAACCTCACTTTCTTCCGTTTCAATCTCTATAAAACTTATCCTTCTTCCACCAATTCCTCATCCAAATCTCGCCATCAAGCACCGCCAGATCCACCGCAGTTCATCTATCTGAAGAATTCCGCCATGGTTGTCCAGGATCTGAAGAACAACAGTAAACCGATCCAAATCCGTGAAGTTTGGGCGTCGAATCTCGAATCGGAGTTCGAGTTGATTCGCGACTTGATCGATCAGTTTCCTTGCGTTTCCATGGACACGGAGTTTCCCGGAGTCGTTTTCACCGATCCTGCGAAGCCGTACCACCGCCAGAATCGGCCGTCGGACCACTACCGCCTCCTCAAATCCAACGTCGACGCTCTGAATCTGATCCAGATCGGAATCACTCTCTCCGACTCCGACGGCAACCTCCCGGACCTCGGCACCGGCGGCAGCCGCTTCATCTGGGAGTTCAACTTCATGGACTTCGACGTGGCGCGTGACGTCCACGCGCCGGACTCGATCGAGCTTCTGCGGCGGCAGGGGATCGACTTCGACCGGAACCGAGTGGAAGGTATCGACTCTTGCCGGTTCGCCGAGTTGATGATGTCCTCGGGACTCGTCTGCAACGACTCAGTGAGTTGGGTGACGTTTCACAGCGCGTACGATTTCGGGTACCTGGTCAAGGTTTTGACTCGGCGGAGCCTCCCGAGTCGGCTGGAGGAATTCCTCGGCGTTCTCAGGGTTTTCTTCGGCGATCAGGTGTACGATGTGAAGTACATGATGCGGTTCTGTAAGAGCCTCTACGGCGGTTTGGACCGGATAGCGAAGATCTTAAACGTGAGCCGGGCGGTTGGAAAGTGCCACCAGGCCGGTTCGGATAGCCTGCTGACGTGGCATGCGTTTCAGAAAATGAGGGACACGTATTTTGTACAGAATGGGCTGGAGAAACATGCCGGCGTGTTGTATGGATTGGAAGTTTTGTAAAAACGAAACTGAAAAATGAAAATTAAATAAAAATTATTTATTTATTATTTATTTAATTGGTATCTTCAATCACATTCTTTTAAAGTTAAAAAAAAAAAAAATTCTTTTTGATCTTTTAAAGATAATTCTATTGCACATGAGTTGAGGGATGTAGACAAATTTAGGGTTGAGTTATTATCCAGAAGAAAAATTATATAGGCTCAGAGAAAAAGGAAAGACAAGACTATATATAATATATATTTTTGTTCATGATGTTGGAGTGTTTTTTCAGTTTAATTCCTATTATTTTATAAAATGTTCCAATATAGTTTTTTATGTTTTAATATATATATTTTATCGGTGAATGATACATTTATAGGACATAATATTTATGAGCATAATAGAAATTTTGTAAAGGGTATGGATTGAGTGTTTTAAAATTTTGATTTTGAAATTTTAAGGTGTATGATTATATTTAAAAAGATAAAAATGTTGATAAAGGTACAAAACATAATATATTAAAAATTATGTAATATTAAAAAGTAATAATTATACCAAATTTATAATAGGTTAATAAATTAATTAATAATATTTTATATTTAATTAAATATTTAGTTGGTAACTATTAGTGTACAAATATATTATTAAGCACACCTCCAACAATTTTTTAAATTAAAAATTAATTTTTAAATTTGCTAGCAATATAAACATATTTTTTTATTGAATATCTTATTTTCATATTACGCAAGTCCCCAACCGACCATCACACCAAAACTACTTGGAAGAAGTTTTTATTATTTTTTTTTTCAAACTTTTAGAAATTTGCAATTTTTTTCTCTATGGTGACCTTTTTCGATTTCTATTTTATTAACTCACCAATTATTATTTCATGTTAGTTTATCGGTAGCCGATTTTAATATTCACAAATGAAAGTATTATGATTAACCATGTTAAATTGTTAAGAACTAAGTAAAAACTTTTTAAACAACAGTTACTAAATTGATAAAACTCTAAAATATTAAAGAATAAAATATATATTTAGAACACCAACATGAGTATAATTAAGTGGTAATTGACATATGTTCTTTTCTTTGAAGTTAGTCGTAATTTATTGTATTATATATATATATATATATATATATATATATTTCAGAGGTAAAACTAAGAAAGAAATCGACTTGATGCACAAACCTCGAGGTGAATGATCGCAAACAAAAAAGTTTTTTTAAAAGGATACCATACCGTAACTTAGCACCAAATAAAATCAATGAGTCTTTGTTGTATCGAGGGATTAAGTCTCAGACAAATTTATTTTACCCTATTTAAAATTATCAATAGTAGTTTTCTGTGGTAACAAACTATTACAAAATTAAAATTGCTAAGTATTTTACTCAATTTATTAGAATTATGAAGAGACTAATTGTTAAGCTTGTGAGTAGTTTTCAAATTAAAATGGTTGTAATCAAACTTCCTTTCACAACATAATGGTAGTGCGTTCGCTTCGCAAGCGAAAGGTTTGTGAGTATGATTTTCTGGGGTGTCAATTCTCACACGAAGCGAACGGTTTGTGAGTATGATTTTCTCGAGTGTCAATTCTCACAAATCACCCTCTTAACACTAAAATATATCAAAAGTATGGTTTATTTAGATGTTCTCATAAATTCAAAATCTAGTCCAGAAGTATGGACAGTGCCGGTGTCTCCCAAAACCATATCCAATCCCCTTCTTTCACCAAATCAAGAAAAAAATATAGGGCAAATTTATTTTACCCTATTTAGAATTATGAAGAGATTTGTTATCCTTATAAAATTAAAATTGGTATCATAGCATATATAGTGGCATTGTGCATTCACTTCTTAACTAAAAAATTGAGTTCCTCTCCAAAGAAAAAAAAATTGTGAGTTTGTTGTGGCATAGTTATATAATTAAATATTTTTTTACCAATATCCGTTAAAAGTGATTAATTTGAATTAACCTTTCTTCGAGTCATTTTTTAGTATAACGTGTAGAGTTGGGATAATGAAACTCACAGCCTCTCGATGGAGATATATGCCAATTAATACTGAAATATACTCGCTTTGGTAAAATCTTTGAGTCTGAAGAGATTGGATTTGAACTAGGCAAATTTATTTTACTCTATTTAAAATTACTAGCAATAACCACGTGCCATCCACATGGAATTAAATATTTATCTTCTAGGTATATTAAAAATGATGTTTAATTAATTTAATTATATTACATGTAAAATTATTTCTAAAAAATCCTAAAAATTATACTAAATTTTAAATTTTGTAAAAAAAATATTTTAATGAAATAACCACATTTTTATATTATTTTTCTGCATTATTCTTTGAATGTATTTATATATTATATTTTCGAATATTTATACAATTATTGTATTTTTTAATTATTTAGAAAATTATCATTTCTATTTATAAAAGTATTTTTAAGACTTATTATTATTACATGTTAATAATTAGAATAAATAGTAAACACAATAAATTACAACTTAATATATTGATATGGCCAAAGCGAGCATAGCTCAGGGGTAATTGGCATGTACCTCCAACCCTCATAAATAGATCATGTACTAATCCCAAAATTTATTTTACCCTATTTAGAATTAATATATAGTATAAAATTAAAATTACTATCATAGCATAGTGACATAGTGCATTCTCCTCTTAAAGGAAAAAATTGTAAGTTCTTATCCAAAGTTAGAGAGACCAGAAAGTACTATATCCTATTTAAAATTACAAAGAGACCGGTAAATTTGACAAGTTACTTAATATTTAATATTTAAATTGTTTATGAAGCATAGTGATGCTGCATTTGAACCGCAAGTGAAAAGTCGTGAGTTCAATCTTCGTAGAGACCAAAAAGTATTTTATCCTATTTAGAATTACAAAAAGACTTGTAATTCTAACCAGTCAATTTTGCTTCAAATTGCTTCTGTAGCATAGTGGTAGTGCGTTCGCTTCGTAAGCGAAAGGTCGTGAGTTCGATCCTCACCAGGAGCTTTTCACACAAATTTTTTGCTCATGAGCATTCATTAGATTACTTTTTCATTTTTTTTTCAATAGTTCTGAGTCACTGTGATTATTCACACTAAGTCATTTCATATCCATGTAAAAGCAGTCTAAATTGGAAATATTGCTTAATCTAATAACAAAATATTCAATAAAGAATTCAATAATCCAATAAATTAAACAAAAGCTATACAAAAAATTATCACTTTATTACTGCAAGGAAATTCAGGAAATTGATGTGGAGAGCACGTTGATAATGTTAAAAAAAACCCTATGTTATAGAATCGAATAACTAAATATATATCCATTTACTTGTTAAAAAAAATATATATATATATATATCCATTTACCTGACACTATTTTCATAAATGGTAAGAGAGCAATAAAACTTAAAAAAATTAAAGATCTTATAGGTTTTTTTTTCCTTTCCAATAACATTCTTTGTCTCCTCTATTATTTTTTTCCTAAATTGAAAGATTAAATCTAACACATTTTAGATGGGTTTTTTTTTTTTTTAAATATATATCAAGCTTCGCTGCGATTGTTTGAGTTAATCAATATCTTCTAATATGTACAAATTGTTTGATGGAGAATAAAAAAAATTAAATGCTAATAAAAAATGATCAATATGAAAATGAACCTTAAAAATCCCTATTTTAGAAAAAAGGAAAAAACTAATAATTAAGCTTTTTTTAGACTTGTATGTTTATTCTATTTAATTTTAATTCCTAAAAGTATCAAAAATTTTATTTTAGTTCTCAAATTTGCATAAAAAACAAGTTAAAGTGATGAGTTTGAGATGGATTTGAATTTTGTTGAATTGACTAAAAATCCAAAATTCCATGATTTTAAAAGTTAAAAACCCCAAATAAAATATGTTAAAATATCAATACAGGATTGATGGCTACAACCCACAAATTTTCTACACAAAATCAGCTGGTTGCTAGTCTTTGGCTACTGGCAAATTGCTCTAAAAAAATATCATATTTTTCAAACACTTCATATAACCAAAATCTAATTTTAGGATAAGTTTGAAATTTTGGGAAAACATATAAATATAATCTTTCAATTCTAAAAATTTATATTTAAGACCGAACGGCAAAAGAGTAAAAAACAAGCATAGAATTAATTATTCACTAATTAACACAATTTATTTATTTTTATATAATTTTCTTGATTTTGATAACTTTTAAAGAAATATAATATGTATATAACAAGTACATCTTAAAAAAATACAAAATATTATATGAAACTAGGAGAGAAAGAGAGATTATTTTAGGGTTTTCACTGATCTCTCAACAATGTTAGAGTTGTGAGAAGGAAGCTATTATATAATTAATAATAATAGTATACCTTTCAGTAATTTACAGCAAATATTAAAAAGAAAAAGAAAAAAAATGATCAAAAAATGTTCCAAACCTTAGATAAATATTTTTCAATGAGAAACCAGCATTAAATCATTGACCTAACTCTTGGTGAAATGACAAATATGCCCTCGCCATGCAGTTCCCTCTTCCTCCTTTCATGTGGGCAAATTCAATGCCCCTCACATGGCTGTCGCACGTGCCACCTCTCCGAACCATCAACCTTCACCGGCGGACGGCGGTTTCCGGCCAGAATTATCGGAGATCCCGTGGCTGTGGGACATGAACTCATCCCAAATCTCGGTGAAAGCTTTGACGATAATTTCATGGTGGAACGGAGAATTCAGATGGAGGAAGCAATTGAGAAGCTCTTGGAGGCCGGCGGTGGAGTAAATCTTCTTCTCGATTATCATCTGGAGCATCGAGTCCCGGAAATCCTCATATGGGTCGTCGGAATTCTTCTCGACGGCAATGATGCTGCCGCCGATCGTGGTCGTCGGCGGCGGGCTGAGGAGGAGTCCGGAGATGGTGGTGGTGGTGGAAGAGGTGCAGTCTTCGTCTTCGAGAGAGATGCCGCCGTTCCGGTCGCCGGAGCTGGAAGATGAGGATCTGGGTTTTGGGTTGTGGCCGGCGCCGGCGCCGGAGGGCTTCGCATCGGGCTCGACGATATCGGAGGGTTTCGGCTTCCCGCAGCCGCCGCAGCCGGCTGCGGTGGGGGCAAAAATGGATTTGGGAAATTTCTTCTTCTTGAAATTAGACATCACTTTTAGAGAGAGAGAAAGAGGGTTTTGATTTATGAAACAGCTTTTTGTAGAGAGAGAGATCTGTGGGTTTAAACGTTAAAGAGGTGTTGTAGGGTTGAAAGTCATTGTCAAAACTAAATTCTGTTATGGCTTCTTGAACTGTTGCAATGCCAATATTCTTTTCTCTCTCTTCTCACTCATGGAGATAGGGGAGAGATGAACAAACGAATAACCAACCTACATCATTATTAATCGAGACAAATAGATTTTAAATTTGTATTGAACTATGATGACATTGAATATTTTTTGAGTTTATTTTATTTTATTTTCAATACAGTATAAATGTGATTTTTCTAGCAATTTGAGAATATAATTGGTTAGGTTTATATTCTCAACTAAACAATATTGTTAGATGTACTAGAAAAAAGTGATTTTTCAATGTATTATATATTTCATTTGACTTTTGAGTTTAATGGATGAATTATGTTATTTATGTAACCTTTCAAAATTTTTTCCTATATTTGAAAAAATATATGTATTTTATGTTAATTGGGTCGTAATTTTTTTCTTGGGGAGAGAGTGAGAAAGAGACCATTTCAAATGTAGTTGTTGTTGATGACGAAATTAGGTGATTAAAAAGGGATTTGCTTTGGTATTTTAAATATAAACGCAAGGGAAACTAGACAATTGGCACTAATGTGTGAAAACAGTTAATTATGTTATTTAATAAACACAATTATTGCAGCATCTTTTGAACCTTTTTCTATTTTAGCCATTGTTGAGGTTGAAAATTAGGCCGCCGTGGAGGGTGCGCGGATCACATATGGCAATGGAAACCAACTCCATTACATACCGATCAGTAGAGAGAGCGACGTTAAAGCTGGCAGGGATATACATACAGTTATACGAGACGTCCAATGGAAACGAACTCCATTATAGATATATATATATATATATATATATATATATATATATACTAGTATTGCATACAGCGAGCCAAAGTGACAGGTGACTGAGATGATACCATGTACTGAGAATATCCACTAACGGCCCGTTTGATCCCATATGCAAATGGACCCATCGTACCCCACGTATGGCATCCTCCTTAGTGAGTTCCATCACTTATATAAGGAGACAAAGATTACACGATGATCGGATAAGTGTGGAAAATCTGTCACTCAATGCTTAAGGTGCTTTTATGTTTTTCTCATCTCTCCTAGTTTACTAACTTGATTGTCGGAGGACCTAAACAGGACATCGTGTCGAGATTTGTTGTTGCAGATTGACTTGTCTGATTGCTCCTAATTGAAGGACATGTGGACCAACTGGATTAGGACATCAACCACAATATTACAAAAATATTATTATCAAACGTAACAATTGGCATATTAATTAAATTATGATGAAACTTAGGATTTTTCCAATATGATTTTCACATTTTTTAATGTATCATGACACCGCCCTTCATTCAATACCAAATTTCATAGTATGTGTGTTCGCACTTGAGATCATAAAATATGTACTCAAAATAAAAAAGAATGAGATAAAATATTATAAGAATAAAAATTAATATACTAAGTATAAATATAGCAAAAAGGTGATGACTATATGTTAATTGTGAGAAACTATTATTGAATTGAAAAGAAGGATAAAAGTGGTAATCTACGTAGATTTAATAGATCTTCTCGTGAAGGAACGACTTGATCAAATTGTGTGTTCACTCTATTTGAACGATGACACACTCCGAACATTTGAAAATTTGTTTAGATCAATTCATAACCAATACATTTTTTTATTATATTTAACTTCCTTTTTTTTTTCTTTAAAAAAAATTGATTTTTCATTTCTAGACATAAGAGGGTTCGAACTTGGATTGTAGGGACTAAATACTTGAGTCTCTTGCCACTATGCCAAGAGCTTAAACTGCTATATTTAACTATTATCTAGGTGAATTACGAATTATAATAATTTTTTAGATAAAAAAATATATAAATTGAAGAAGACCATGATATAAAATAAAATAAAAAATATGCAAAGTCAGTATAGACTTTTTACCAAAAGAAAAAAAAATCGATATTTGTAATTACTTTCATAAATTATGTTTTGCATATATATATTTTTTAAAAACATGTATTTATTTTATTAATTTTTTTTAGAATATTACATTACACAAAGGGGTAACTTGAAAAATTTCCACTTGAATTTTCCTACGCCATTTATAACTTGGTAAAAAAGGGACATATAACCAATGGCCCATGTAATCTTTTAAGTATTTTTTGTGCAACACAATCAACAATCAAGATCGTACCTGTTAATTAAAAATGACTGACGAGGAAGAGTTTGAGTGTTCTTGGTTAATTAGGAAAGATTTGCAAACAAGAAAGATTATCATGCTCAAGTTAGTTTAAGTTGGACTTAGATATATAGACAATGAGCTAAAATGTGATACTTTGATGCGGAAGTGAAACCGTCTATTTATAAGTTTCGGATCTGAGAGACGATTCTTGATGTCACCTTGAAGGTCGGCTTATCATACGCCTAAAGTTGAGACTTGGTTAGACCTTTGCTGCATCGAGTATCTCCACAATGTGGTATGATATTGCTCGCTCTGGACATAGCTCTCACGGTTTTGTTCCACCAAAAAGACCTCATACCAATGGAGATAATTGTCCTCCCTTACATACCATGGATCACCCATTTCTCTAATCAATGTGAGACTTTGTTTACACCCTTTAAAAACCCAACACGTTCTTCATGTGGCAAGACTATTTTTCTGGTCCCAACTAGCATGATTCTTAATTTGACACCTATCACTTCAAATTTTTAATATTACCTTTAATGTAGTAATAATTTTATAAAAAAATTATAAAAATTTTCTAATGAAAAGTTGACGTATCATTAAATATTATTTTCTTAATATATTTGGACATGTTCTTCGAATGTTACCCAACTTATTTATTACCAAAATCTGATCCATCCATCAAAAAAATTTATTTCATTCAAGGGACATGCTTGTATTCGAGGTTAATAAAATGAAATATTTAATAACATATTAGCTTTCTTTTCATTTTAACATAGAGATATTATGTTATTTTAGTACAACAAGTGAGTGAGGAAACAAACCAATGATCTTTTGGTGGGATTTGGGAATATATGACTTGACTTAACACTATTATTGTTTAGTTTCTGTAAATAATCTATTTTTCGCGGCTTCCCCATTCATTTAACCATAATATATACATCTTATAAATTAATGGTAAATTATCTGTAAATAGTTGACTAATATAATATAAACTTTATATAAACAGTGTTAAATTACAAAAACACACCATTGGAAATCAATTCTAGTTATTGTTATAATTCCACATCCAAATTTATAATTAATGGTAAGTGTCTCTACGTTAGATTAGTAGGTTATTAATCCAAACATAAATACTGCGACATGTTGAACTAAAAAAAAACTTTAATAGAGGTATGGAGGTCTCCCCTATTTGTCCGTTGTGTAGGACGAAGGAGGAGACTAGTGCACAGGCTTTGGTGGGAGGCAAAATGGCCAATAAACTATAGAATGTTATCTTACCGGAAGCCATAAACCACAATCTTCCCAAGGGTGATCTCTGGTTTGAGATGATGTACTCCTAAACTCAAAAGGATCTGGCTCTCGCAGTAATCAATTGCTGGGTCATTTAGAACAACCGTAATTCCTTCATTCACAACAAGGAAATAAAAAAAATCAGGACTGGAGGTTTTTATTTGGGATGAAAAATGGTGAAATTAAAGCGACTGTTCCGACATATTTGTCGGGGGGCAAATGGTCCTGTTCATGCCCTAGCAAAAATGAAATTAAAGCTTCTTATGAGGATTGAACTCTTGACCTTTCACTTACGAAACAAACACACTGCCACTATGCTACAGAAACAATTTTAATTTAAGAACTACTTATAAGTTATAAGCATAATAAGTTTTATTTTTTACTAATTCTGCATACTTAGCAATTTTAATTTTATAATCATTTGTAAAGATAAAATCTCTTAATAATTTTAAATAGGATGAAATAAATTTGTAGTCCTTGTTCAGATTCAATCCCAGCCCATAACAAAGACTCATTAATTTTATCTACAGTGCTAAGTTAGAACACGATATCTTCTTTTAGAAATCTTAACTTTTTGTTCATGAAGTGAATGCATTACCTTATGGAAACAATTTTAATTTTATAACCTATGTTAGGATAAAATAAATTTGTAGTCCCTCTACAAATCTAGTCTCGAGATTTTATCACTCTTAGGCTAAGTCTGGATGGGAAGCTTCATCCAATTCTTCCCTTCGTTTGTGTGAGTGATGATTTTTGATGTTGATACATGGTAGACGATAATTATTAGTCTAAATCTTATTTTGTGTCGTGTTTATGATAGCAATGCTCTCATTTCTGTGTCTTTAATTTCTGTTATTTGGTATCCAATAGGGAGTGTTAGATGTGTATATTAAATAGAGGCAGAGACGTACACATACATATCCAATAGGCTATGTCTCTGCCTCTATTTAATATACACATTTTGCCCAGCCTTGCAGTGGGTTTTTGCCTGTGGGTTTCCAGCAGAGAATCCTCCAGTTGTGAATTTTTCTTAAACATGTCATTTTAAAACCGCAGTGATTTTGACTGGTTCTAGTCATACTAAAATTATTCCCAAACATGTCTTGAGAGTGATTTTGGCATGCTATTAACAAAATCACTTCTATTTTCATGGATCATGTTTGATAAATTAAAAAATTAATTTTAGGAAAACATAAAATCATTTAAAATTGATTTTTAAGGTATCACTTATGTGATGATTTTGGAAAATTAATTATTCTTCAATCTCTTTTTTTAAAATCACTCCTTCTAACATCACTCCTGAACATACCGTTAGACTCATTGCTCCCCAAATATAAAGTTTACCCACATCTTGTTCTCTTAGAATGATAACTTATAGCTGCTTTGGTAACGTTCCTATTTCTTGTATTTGTTTCTTAATTTTTAATAAAAGAATTGAATTGCATGGTCCCAACATCCATAAATTCAAGTATGATGAAACAGTCTCTTTATTTATGTTTTGGAACAAAATTGGAAATGAGAATAAGAAAGAAGAAATTTGTTTTGTTGTTTCCAAAATTTCTATACAATTTTGAGAATGTTTCAAAAAATGGAGAAACAAGAAACATAATTAGGTTAAAAAATGCTTAGATTTATAAAGAAAATTGGAAACGAAAAACAAGAAACGAGAATGTTATTAAACAAGCTATTAGAAGCTCATCCCCATCTATTGAGTACATAAAAGAAGTCCCTACACATTTGTGTGAGTACTGCATTGGGCGACACAGAGGTCACCCTAATCTCACATCCGCCCAATCCACAGTTGCATTCGTCATCAATCTCAACACCCATATTTGAACTTGTGCATGCATAAGGGGAGAACTTGTGCATGCATAAGAGGAAATCTCGTCAAGAGTAGAGGTAATGCTACATGTATTGATATAAACATGACAAATCATCGATGAATCCAAAAGTTTAAGTTAATAGATTAGAGTAAATTTAACACACTCTCCATTATTTGTGGACTTGAAAAACACGGGACCATGTGCTCTGATAACTATTTACGAGGTGTTTCTATTTTGTTACGTGGCAGTGAACAAAGGAAAAAGATGAAGAGTTAGCGAATATGGTTTGAAAGAGAGTGGCCCAGATTGGCTCACAAGCCCCACTGGTGATTAGTGCCACACTTTACCTTCTACTCTAATTAAGAACCAAATATTTCAAGTAATAAACTTCATATGGATTTGAATAAAATTTTATAGAGTTTTCATGATATTTTTTCTCACGATATATAGTTAGATAATTAAAATGGATCGTTATGAAAAGTATTTTAAAATTAGTTTAAAAGGACATTTTATTATTAGTGCTATTTCTCTTGACGTACTTATATAAAATAAAATACTTTGGCTCATTACCAAATGTATTCTTGTTTTTGTTAAAAAAAAAAGTATTCTTGCTTAAGGCCGCGTTATTGTCCTGGGTCTCAAATTAATATTTCAATAATTGAAATTAATGTATGAGATTAGTACATTGATGAGCTATTTATGTGATGTGTGAATTTGTAAACAAATTTATTTAAGTTGGTATCCATTACCTAAATTACAAAACTATCCTTTTGTATATATATTAATATTAATTGATTTTTAAATTCCGGAGTTCATTAATTGGAAGGCTATATTTTGAATCTCATGATATTTGGTTAATGATATTTTTCAAAAAAGCTAAAATACCAAAAGATCCAAAAATATCCCCAAATCTCTCAAATTCGAAAACCTCCAAAAATATCTCAAAATTCCCCAAATTCGAAAATAGTGACGCATTGAGTTTCTGGTAGTAGATTCATAATCAAAAAAGTGTTTGTGATTGTTCGAGAAGAAATGAAACAAAAGATACGCTAGAGCTAGGACAGTTATTGTATGAGGTCTACCCAATGCTAGATGCAGAGGCGCATAATAGATCGATATGAACATCATGAGCTGTYCCGTAATAAAACCTGTTGTTGCTGATACTTTCTTCTCGGTTCCTTCTTCCATAACCCGAGCTYGGAGAAGGARGAGATAAGAGGGCCMTATGGAGAATGTGGTCAGAAATCCATAATAGAGTCCGACCACAACGACCGAATTGATTATCTTCATGCATAAGGATACTAGATTACCTAGTATAAAAGATTTAAAAATCATCACAAACCTCCCTTTTTCTTTTCTATTGTAATTTCTGGATTATTATATGATATGATATGATGATTTTTAAACTTTCCATGTATATAGAAATAGAAACAGATAGACTAGAAACGACATCTCTTCCGACTGCTTGTGGTGGTGGCTTCCAACAACCGGTGGGAATTATACACAAACGGAGATGAAATTGGATATTTTTTCCATTAATAATAGTGGTAAATCAGGAAAATAAATCTTTTTTGAAGGGGTGAATCAAGCGATTAGTGTTAGAAATTTTGTATGAAACCCACGATAATTAAAGGAATATGATTACAATTTAGGGATTCAAATCTTTTAAATTTCTAAAAAAAAATAACTATAAATTTATAGTTATTTTTTAAAATCGGTCTACAAGTGTAAAATTGGAAAACTTTAGACATTGATAAAATTAAGTTTAAAAAACAGGCCTGACCTTAATAATTTTATTAATTAAGAAGCAAACATTACAACAAAGATATCTTCGGGCTCTAAGAAACACTTTGTGTATTATCATATTATGGTTTTATCAGTAACTTTGATAGAAGGATTATTCAGCTGACTTACAACTTATTCTTGCCATTATTCAACGACACCCAATTCAAATTATACCAAATTATTTATAAGAGCAAAGACCTGAGTTTAGAACAGAGAAGCCTCCATCAACAACTAAATTGTGCCCACTCACGTACTTAGCCGCATCACTCCCCAGATAAAGAGCTGCTTCAGCCACATCTTCTTCACTTATAGCATCTTCATTCTTCAGATTCCAATACATATTAGGAAACTTGTCCCCATCTTTGAGCCTAAGCAAGTCCCTGGTCAATTGTGTGGGCACTGCATAGGGCGACACACAATTCACTCTAATCCCATACCGTCCTAAATCCACAGCTGCATTCTTCATCAATCCCAAAACTCCATGCTTTGAGCTTGTGCATGCATGGGGGGCAATCCCGCCCACGGTCGCCGCAGCACTTGCAGCTGTGATTATGCTACCTCGACGAGCCGGAATCATCGCCCGCGCCGCGTGTTTCGTGCCGAGGAAGGCACCGAAAAGGTTGACATTGAGTACCTTCTGGAAGTCTGATGAGTCGTTTTCAAGAATGTTGTAGTTTGGGGCTCCAAGAATGGCTGCGTTGTTGAACATGATGTCGAGCTTTCCGTACTTGGAGACGGTTGTGTCGACGATGTTTTCGACATCTTTTTCTTTGGTTACATCGCAATGGACGAAGGAAGAAGATGAAGAGCCAAGATGGTTGGAGAGGGATTGACCTAGATCGTCATTGATGTCTGCAATCACCACTTTGGCTCCATGCTTGCAGAAGAGCCTTGCAGTGTACTCCCCGATTCCTCTGGCCCCACCAGTGATTATTGCCACTTTGCCTTCTAGTCTAATAGTGAACCAAATATCTCATGTTTTAAAAACTATAACGTGAATTTTGAGTGAAATTAAAATAGAATTCGAGAGATATGACTTTTGAAATTGTGAAAAGTATACGAGACACTTCACGAAAATTTCGTTTTTAATTAGTGTGCATGTGTTTCACATATCTTCCCAAGAAAGTATTTTTAAGGTGAAAAGTAAACGAGACACTTCACAAAATTTCGTATTTATTGTATGTGTCTGACATATTTCTAAGTGGAGTGCTGGTTAAATCAGTAGTTTTAGAAGAATTTTTTTTTTTTTAATTTTCCAAAACATTTTGATCATCAAAATTAAAAAAAAAAATGCTTTTTCTTAGTCGAAGGTACTACCCCTTAAAATTCAACCATATATTCTGAAAAGAAAAAATTATTTGTAGTTTATCTATAACCAATTAAAAAGACAAGCCCTTAGTTACATAATTAAAAATTATTTTTAAAAAGAGTACTTTAAAATGATTTTCAAAATTACTTAATTAGTACATTACGTACTTATAAAAAAAATTCAAAACACATTTCTAAGAGTCACATTGAAAATTTAGAATAGATAGGTAGTAAAAAGCTCTTTGATTATTAAACATAAAGATGATGAGAGACCATGAAATAAAATTCATGAGTAACTAATTTAAATTTTACAAAGAAAAAATAACTAACGTAGTAACAAGAAGTAAGGTTGTGTTCCATGATTTCAATGTTTTGGAATATGTGTTAGGCAGTAGATTTGAAAGCTAAATCTCAATTTAAAAGATTGTTTACTGTTGATTAATAGCTAAATATATTTTATTCAATACAAAATATTATTAACTAATTTAACAATATATATAGATATATATATATATATATTATAAAGTTTGAATAATTATTATCACATGAATTAATATATTTAATGTAATCTTGTATTTTAAAATTTTAAATTTAAAATCTAAACACACTGAAGGTATGAAAATTACATATATTCATTAAATTTGAATTTGGAAACAACAGAATTTGAATTTCATACCAACTCTAAAATATATCTTTCTTTTTTTTAAGTCATCGAGTATGGTCTCAATCTAGTTCCAATATATATTATGAGTTAAATTATTATATTAGTCTACATTGATTCGTGTCTATGGTTTTAACGATTTTATTATAGTCTCTATAATTCGAGCCACACAGGATTTGTAGCTGGGGCTTCCCCATTAAGGGTAAGTCTCGCAATATCAGTTACATTGTTGGGTGATTGTTGGCACCCCCAATTACAGGGATCCTACTAGGGAAGTCACACGACATTAATTTCGAGTTATAAAAAAGAATATTTTTTGAGAGTTAATCAAATTATAAAGATAATGATAAAAATTTTAACAAAAAATAGATAAAATTAATATAAATCAAAAGTCTTAGAGACTAAAATTATAATTATGGCTAGGTTTTTTATTTTGTTGAGAAAATGATAAAATTTTACCTTCTTGCAGCGGCGGGAAGCAAGGGAACAGCCATGGCTTTCAGCTCGACCTCTGTCTGTTGCTTTCTTTTTTTCTTTTTTTTTTTCCTTCTTTGATAAAAACTCAATATTGTTCCATTCCATGACTTGCTTTAAATAATGAAAAAAATGACCTCTTGTCGAGGGTATTAAACTTCTATTCATATTTCTATTCACATTTTTTACATATCTATATATTCGACATTGAAATAAAAAGTGAATCAATATTTCCATAGTACTGAAAAAAAATCGACAAAATATCACTAAAACAAACCTAATATTAGTATTTATAATTTTCAACTTATTTAAAAATCGTAAAATTTTTATTTTTTAATTTAAATATTTATTATGATTTTTTAGAAATATCTATTAACATCAATATTCTTATCAAAGATTTTATTTTATAAATTCCCTTTGATCATTTACTACTTTACTTTGAAGTTAAATATTCAAATTCTCATCCTATTATTGCGATGCATTAATAACCTTTTAAAGTGAGAAATTTGAATCCTTAGCCTTACTTTGATTTTAACTTTAAAAACTAAAATGAAATGAAAGAGGTTCAAAATGGCTTTTCGCAAATACTATTTTCCACCTTAATTGAATTATAATTACTGGATAAAAAAAATTGATATATAATTACAATAAATTAGTAAGTTTAAATTAAATTTATAATTAAAAAAATAAATTTATAATCAATAAGTCTTATTAACCACTCTGTTAAAATATATATATATATATATATATATATATATATTAACAACCTCTTGATTAGAAATATATATTAATTACGATGGCGTTCTTACTTTTCATATCTTAAGATAAATTTCTTGACTTCATTTAATTACAATTAAAGTCGGTCCTTTCTTTGTATTTTTTTGTTGGAAGAAAGTCAGTCTAAAATTAATGAATAATAAATGCATTAATAATAAATGCAATAAATTAACCTAGTTAATTATTACATTGAAATAAATTACTAATCTATATCGGTATCTGAAATATGAAAGATTATCAACTAATAGATCTATAATCAACCTATTTATCCTTTTAAATTCACATTTTCCTAATAATTTACTTACTTTAACTCAATTACGAAATCAATCTCATAAATTTCTGTAAAATTAATTTATATTATAAATCTTAACTATCTTTTTTATGTAAATACTTTAAAATAAAACTACAAAATTTTACGTGCAGCACACGTGTTGCTAACTAGTAAATAAATAAATTATCGATTAAAATAATTCATTTTATTAATAAAAATATAAAACAGTATTGTAAATATTAAAACAACGAACAATACATTAAATATACTCAATTAATTAATTTTAATGAGTTAATTTAACTCATTATAAAGTTGGAATTTTCAATAATGATAATTAATTATTCAGTCAAAATTATTTATTATCAATTAATTTATATTTGTTTTAGTGAATACAATTTACAATTAATATTAACTTTTAGAAGTTTTTTTTGTTGAACATGCTGGAATAGTTGATTGACTTCTCCATCAATATTTTCTAACACAAGTTCCCTTTGTGTTGTACCCACCCACTCCTCTTGTGCATGTATCTTCTTCCCAAGACTTAGTAGTTTTCTCGCAAATAAAATCGACTTTTCCAAATACATAAAAATCTCTCAAGTAAGATATCATACTTAAAAGGACATTCCTAAAACAATTTGTACAGTAAGTAGTACCACATATATTCTTGTTTACTATGTTCCCAAGAATATAGAAATGGACACATTCCAAAGCTAAAATTCAAAAACACAAAAAATTATTGAATTAAGTATAATATAAATAAAGAAAATGAATAAATGAATCTTAAGTATTTTCAAACATGTTTCGTAATCATTACATTAGATATAGCAATGGTGTGGGACAGGCATTCTATGTGACTTGAATCTAAGACCTCAGAGATATCTCTTSAGGAGCAATAAACAATTAAATTTTGAAAATAGAAATCTATTTTAAAAATTATTTACTTTTTGAAATTTTCATGATTTTTAAAAAATAAAAAAAACATAAAATTGAATTGATTATCCAAGACCATTCTTTTTCAAAAACTAAAAATCAAAAACCAAAAACAGAAAACGAAATTTCAAACGGTCCTAAAATTTCTTTTAATATAATTTTTCTCTATCTCTTTTCTCTTCCTTTATATATATATATATAGTATATTAAAATTTATTTTAAAAAAATTTAAATTAACTTTTCCCTCCTATATAGCTAATAACAAATTAATAAACTATGCTATTTCGAACCATTTGAGCAAATTATAAGATTTTGAAATTTAAGAATGGAAGAAAAATATTTATGAAAAACTTCAGCAGAGATAAAAGAAATTTTAGTATGAATTCATCTAAACATTAACTTCTAAATCTCAATCTTCTTTTATAATTATGATATCTTTATCATTTCTATTAATTAATTATGATATATTTTCAATTTCTATTAATTAGAATGCTTCCACGTAGCCTCCTCTTTATATATTTCTTACCTATTCTTTTAACGAAATGGTGTCTCTTAAAAAAGAAAAAAGAAAAAAATCTGAATATTAACCTCAAAAGGAAAAAAGAAAAGAAAAACTAATTGGCAAAACAACTTTATTTAACTTCAAAAGAAAACAAAAAGGAAAAAATCATTCATAAATCAACTTATTTAACTTAATTTCTCCCAAACAAGTTAACGTATAAACGAAGTATTTCAATTTAGAAAATAAATAAAAAAATGTGTAAAAGTTGAGATCATTTTAGATTAATTATTTCATTTTAGATCTTTAGTTAAACTTTCGAATTGTCCAAAGATGGTATTTCTTTTCTACAATAATAATTATTTTGGTTAGGGTAATTCGTCTACCTTTTTAGTTAATGAAAGTCGTAGCTATGAATATATCACTATTGCCTATTAATGTTTTTACAAGGATATGTATTACAGCTATGTAGGCTATCCGAGGTGAGTTACTAACATGTCATCTTATCGCCAATTATTTTTCATATAGATGACAAGTTAATTCTAAATGCTCATCAAGCTCAATTCTTGTCTCGATTAGTTTATATGGCTTCAAATATAAAGCTATATCATCTATTTAATCACGCAAAATAATGCCAATAATCAAAAGGGTAATTTTAAGCCCATGACTAGAATAGACTTAAAAATTATCATAATTTTTTATCACTTTATTCAATAAAAAAATTACAAAAATTCAATATTTTTAATAAAAATCAAAATTTTCAAATCGAGTTTGATTACAAAATCTATCATCAAATAACTCCCCCACAAACTTACGAATTTAAATAAAAAAAAATATACTCTAGTGTCATTTTTATCTAAATCCTATCAATTATTTCATACTAAAAATATATTTTCAAACTCATTTGACACACGATAATATTTTTAAATAAAATTTCATATGAAAATCTATTGTAAGATAAAATTTACAATACGTGTGAAAATTACAACATTTATCTATGCAAATTGATACACATTGATAGATTCAAATTTAAAGTTAGATATTCTTTCGTTACATTTATATATGCATTTGTGCCCCTAACCACTTAAAATCCGGAATCCACCACCGAATACATCCCTATAAATCATATCGTTATGGATAGCAAACACACAGAGAGATGGAAATTAAGACTCGAACCAGAATCAAGAAACACAAAAAGAGATGCAACCAATGAGAGTACCGTACTAGTGAAGGATTCGATTGGCAAAGAAAATTAACCAGATGTTTGTGCAAGAATTATTCTTTGTTTTAATGTTCTTCGTTCTTGTTGTTGCTGCCATGATTATTCTCCAGAAACTGTTCAACCACCGATTGTTGATAGGAGCAAAGACCTTGGTTTCGAGCAGTAAAGCCTCCATCAACAATCAAATTGTGTTATTTCCCTTGAAATATCTTCACATTTGAGTGGTGGTTTATTCATTCTTAAGACTCATCGTTATCTTTGAGTTCAAACGTGTCCATCGCTATTCGTGTGGGCACTGCATGGGGCGACACACAATTCACCCTAATCCCATATTGACCCAAATCCACAGCTGCATTCTTCATCAGTTCCCGCCATGCCATGCTTTGAGCTTGTGTATGCATACGGGGCGATCCCGCCAACGATTGAGCAAACGCTTGCAGCATGATTATGCTGCCCCGACGAGGTGGGATCATCGCACGCGCCGCATGTTTCGTGTCGAGAGAGGCTCCGAGAAGGTTGACATTGAGTACCTTTTGAAAGTTTGATGATTCGTTTTCGAGAATGTTGAACTTTAGGTCTCTAGGAATGCCTGCATTGTTATTGAACATGATGTCACTTTCTATACTTGGAGATAGTCGTATCGATAGCGTTTTCGACGTCTTTCTCTTTTGTTATGTCATAATAGACGAAGGAAGAAGATGAAAGATAAAGATGGTTAGAAAGAGAGTGACCTAAATTGTCTTCAAGGTCAGAAATTACCACTTTAACTCCATGTTGAAGAAGAGCCTTGCAGTATATTCCCCAATTCCTCTAGCCCCACCGGTGATTAGTGCCACTTTGCCTTCTAGTCTAATACCAAACCAAATATTTGGAGTTTTAGAAATTATTCATGTGAATTTTTGGCACACACTAAATGTGTGCAAAGTTTGTGAAATTCAAACTCATGATCTATGGATTAAAGATGGTTTCAATTATCATTACGTTGGAAAGTACAAAGAGTTATAAATACTTGACAAATTTTCCTCTACCCTCAAATGTTTTGTTTTAGTTATCTTACCAAATATTTATCTTTTGATCCTTTCCACAATTAAATATGCACATTCATTAGATAAAACTTGTTTAAAACTATATATAAAGACTACATGGGCCTAATTTAACAAATAAATATATTATTCAAAACTCAAAAGTATATAAAAAATAATAATAAATAAGATTTATGTCCTATTCTATTCACTAAATTTATGTATTTTATTTTTATTTCTCTTAACTTCAATATTTATTCTAGTCTCTAAATTGTTTTTAAAAAATAGCATTTTGTACTCCCAACTTTTAAAAGTACCTATTTTAGGCCATAAATTTAAGAAGTCAAATTATTTATGTGTCAAAAGATTGACATAAAATGATATCAATAACAAAAGTAAAGTGATGATATAAAAGTTTAAAGACTAAAAATGATGTATATTTAAATTGATCGGTAAACATTACCTTCTTCCGACGACAGGAAGCAAAGGAAAACTCATGTCTCTCTTTGCTTTGTTGTTTTTGAAAGAGCTATAAAGAGAAGTCACGAACTGATATCACTAATGTAGTCTGACCTTCAAATTAAAGATTCAAAGAAAAAACGTACCCGTGAACCCTTTAAACCTAAAAAAAAGAAGGAACCAAATAGAGCCCTAGCTGAAAACAATCTCTTCGGTTGTCAAAGACATTGAAAACACAGGATTGATAAAGAAAATGTTTTAATTTCAAAGGATGGATGAGAAAAATGTGTATGCATTGGGAAAGGTTCTAAAATGTCGATTTGACGAAAATATGGAGGTCTCAAATTTTATGTAAATGTCGATAGAAATATCAACAAAATATCGATGTTTCAATTTTATAAAAATGACGATGAAAATATCGATAAAATGTTAATTAACTTAAATATATAACTTTAAGATTCTTTTTTTTGACAGGTAATGATTTTGAACTTTTCTTATATTTAACGTGTACAACATGTAGATTGAACTCACAACCTCTTGATTGRAAATATATACCAATTACCACTGAGTTATTATTCGCTTTTACAATAGATACGATACTTTTGAATATATGTTCTAACGTTTGTTTACGTATATATTAAAGTCTCATAAACTAGGTGAGGTGGATTATTAATGCATATTGTCATCCATCAACTATCTATTAACATAGATGGATGACATGACTTTGTAGTTCGTAGAAGTGTATTAATTAACATGTTGACGTTTATCTTAAAAGAGTTTATGTGACTCATCCACAACTCTATATATCATCCATCATTTCATCTATTATTAAAAATCGGCGTCAAAATAATAATGTGTCACTATTATCAAAAATGGAAATTTTATCTTTAACGTTCGGGTTAAATAAATTATAGGAGATGGGGCTCTTTTCTGTCTGTCGCAAGGTTTTGTTCAAATTTTTCTTTTTTTCTTTCTTTTTACCAAACAGTGACTTTTTTAATATTTTTAAAAATAAAACTAATTATTAAAATATTACAAACTAGAAATTAGTTTTAAAAATAATGTAGATTTTATCATATCGGAGTCTACCTTCACAGGCTCAGCCAACCANATAGACTACACCTAGTGGAGGTCACCTATTTGAAGGATAATTTTTCCTGTGAATCCACTCCAAAATTTTAAAATTTCTCCTAAATAGGTGACATCCACTAGGTGTGTCATGCACGTGTAAATGTATTTAAAAAAAAAAATATGTCGTCACGTATGATTCTTGGAGGTGACTTTATGTCGTCTTTTCCAGAGATTATAAATGGACGGGAGAATAAAATCTGCATTATTTTTAAAATTAGTTTGTAATTTGTAATATTTTAATAATTAACTTTATCTTAGAAATATTAATAAAAATAAAGTCCCAGTGCACCTTAAAATGGGAAGAAAAATAAGGGAAAGAGAAACAAGAGAGGAAATAAACCAGAAGAAAAATCTAAAGAAGAACAAGAACGAATACAAAAATATTTAATAATTGTGCTTGATAATTTATCTTCAATGTTTGTAGTAATAATCGCAAATAACTTTTATTAAACGAGAATGTTGACGTGGTTCATACTAAAAGGAAGTGGAGTATCTATATCATGTACTACCAGAAACTTTTCAATTAGAGATGGAGTCGAGTAAGTTAAAATTAGCTTGGARTAAGATGTATCTTAAATGACGGGATCGTTTATTTTCACACATAAAAAAATTAGGGRTTCAGAGTAATTGGATTGGAAGGAGAGTGACTTAAATTGTCTCGRATGTCTGGTTGTCATCTTGGAAGAAAAGTCTTCCAATGGCACTCCCCATAATTTCTCTAGCATAAAATAGAGAATAAATTAAAATAATAAAAGTTGATTCTCGTTTTAGTTGGGCACTTTTAGTCTTTTTTTTTGTCTTTAAATTTTAAAAAATAATAATGTTAGTTCTTTGTATTATTCCACCATCAACATGGATGTCATAATTTTGAATATGCATGTTCCAAACGTCATGGGACTATGTGAGGTGAATTATTAATGTGCATTGTCATTCATCAACTATCTAATATAGATAGACGGCGTGACTTTGTAGAAGTGTATTATTAATTATATGTTGACGTTTATTCTAAAAGAGTTTATGTGGCTTTAATATATGTCTATGTGGGTTGGACACGTTAACTTACATCATTTCATCTATAATATATCATCCATCATTTCATCTATTATTAGACAATATCGGTGGCAAAATAATGACAATATTATAAGAAAAAAATGGTAATTTCTCTTTAAGGTGTTCGAATTTCATATATTTTAAAAGTTGAAAAACTGAAAGAAGATAATTACAGACCCAAATTTGATTTAAATCAAAGTTTAAACTAAATTTTATAAATGCAAATACCACAAGTGGGAATAGCATAATTGGACAAAGAAAACCATAAAAATTAACCCACAATAATTATTTCTCAAAACCTGTTCAATTATCAGATTGGTCATATGAGCAAAAAGCTCGGTTCACGACAGTGAAGCCTCCATCAACAATTAAATTATGGCCACTCACAAACTTAGACGCATCACTTCCTAAATACAAAGCAGCTTCTGCAATATCTTCTTCCATTAACATMCCTCCACATTTCAAATGAGAATAATGATTTGGAAACTCATCACCATCTTCAAGCTTAAACAAGTCCCTAGTCATTTGTGTGGGCACTACATGGGGCGATACACAATTCACCCTAATCCCATATCGTCCCAAATCCACAGCTGCATTCTTCATCAATCCCACCATTCCATGTTTTGAGCTCGTGTATGCATGCGGGCACGCCCCGCCAATGACYGAGCAACCGCTTGCGGTCATGATTATGCTGCCCCGACGAGCTGGCATCATTGCTCGTGCCGCGTGTTTTGTGCCGAGAAAGGCTCCGAGAAGGTTGACATTGAGTACCTTTTGAAAGTCTAATGATTCGTTTTCGAGAATGTTGAACTTTAGGTCTCCAGAAATACCTGCATTGTTGAACATGATGTCGAGCTTTCCGTACTTGGAGACGGTCGTATCGACAGCATTTGCGACGTCGTTCTCTCTCGTTACGTCGCAGTGGACGAAGGAAGAAGATGAAGGGCAGAGATTGTTGGAAAGAGAGTGACCTAAATCGTCTTGGATGTCAGCAATGACCACTTTAGCTCCATGCTTGAAGAACAGTCTTGCAGTGTATTCTCCAATTCCTCTAGCCCCACCCGTGATTAGTGCCACTTTGCCTTCTAGTCTAGTAGTAATTATATATACATGTGAATTTTAATCACTCCACAAATGATTAATTGAAACTTTTAAAATTAAATTAAATTAAAGTTAATTTGTGTATAACACAGCCGTAATTGACATGTACTCCTTCCTTTGAGGTCGGAAGTTTGATTCCCCATTATCCCTAAATTGTTGTACTAAAAAAATCAATCTTTTAAATTGTACCGGCTAAATTTTTAATTTGACGAATAAAAAATTGTGTTTTTTAATATAGTATTCTTTTAATTTTTATAAAAAAAAATAATGTTTGTTTTTTCCTCATGAGTTAAAAGAATAAAGAGGGGTGGCATCACCCTTGGTACATCCGCCCTAGACAAGATATCAGACAAACTTGACGATAGGACAATGATTTTTGTTTTTTTGTTTTTATTTTCTCTGTAAGGTGACAGTGAAATTTCACATAAAGTAAGATTTTAATTTTATAACCAAAAGGAAAAAGAAAAAAACTAAAAGTATTGTATGAGATATTGTTATTGCATCAAGGCTACCTCAAGAGATATTTGCCCAAGCTTTTGCATCAATTTGAACTTTAGTTTCATTGTCGTTTTTATATATAGTTTGGATTAAATCTTTTGAAACATTTGTGAATAATGAGATTAATTTTTTTAGAATATGGAGGAAGATCCACTCCATTTCGAATAACCAATTTCATCAAAGCCTCACACCTAGAAGGAGAGAGAACAAGAAAAGACGAAGGGAAAAAAAAACGAGATTGACAATTTTTGAAAGAGATTAGGAGTGAGATCTCCCTTTTCGATCTTGTAGCGAGAAAGGAGTAAAATATATTAAGGAGGAGATTCGAACCCACAACCTCTTGATTAGAGATATATGTCAATTACCGCTSACTTATGCTCGTTTTGGCCGCTTTCTCTTCCTTTACTTCTAACTCTCTTTAATCACACTTTGCTTCCTCTCTCGTTTGGGTAGATTTATATCAACTAAGAATTTTTTAAAATAAAAAACCATAGGTTATTATCTGGTTAGATTTTTATCTCATCTCATTTGAATCTTTAGATTTTTTTTTTTGTCAAATGACTTATCATAATAGAAATATTATATTAAAAAGAAGACATAACACATTATCCAACTTCCTTATAACAAAAAAATTTTATACTTAAACAAATAAAAATTTAATGTTATATCTTGAGAATGGCCGTCAGCCTACCATTTTTAAATCTAATCATAGTGAAAACTCATATAACAATGAAAAAATAAATTATAAAAAAAGAGAGAAAATAAACAGAAGAAGAGCTAGACAAAATGAGGAAAAAAAATAGCKCAAAAGAAATAGTGAGAAACAAGAACAAGAAAAAATAACTAGAAGAAGAACATAGAAAAAGAAGGAGCGTGATTAATAATCTAGAGGTTAGATGGACAACGAGACGAGAGATTAACAATTTAGAAGCGAGATGGACAATGAGAGAGAAAAGAGACATCTCTTCACATGTCGACTTATGTTACTTCGATTCGATACCTCTCGATTTAGGGAGGAAATGCACATTAATTTGTATTATTTTTAGTCTCCACATCTCGATCTCTACTAATTGGATCTGAGACTGGATGAAGGGAAGCTTTATGGGAGAAAGGAGGAAAAGGTCGGTACAGCTAATAACCAACGGCTTGACAAGGTAAAAATATAGAATTTGCAAAATGAGAAGAAACCTTTGGGTTAGAAAAACTTGATTTTTAGGAACGGATGAGTTCTTATTCCACATCGGATTTATGAACATTTAGACCAAAAAATAATTCAAAATTCAAAGAGTAAAACGAGATTTAAATCACAATCAAGATTCATATATATATATGTAAATGTTACCTTCTTGCAGCAGCTGGAAGCAAGGGAACGCCCATGGCCTCTCTCTCTCTCTCTCTTTCTGTGTTATATATTTGAGTATTTGGCCAAATGGCATCAAGTTGATATATAGGAGTTAATTTTTAAATTATTTTTAGCAAAAAAACAAACAAAACAAAATTATTGGTGATTTGAATTCAAATATTTTAGTTTGGAATTAAAATCTATTTGATTGTTTTTGCAACTTTTCAGAATTACTTTTGTTTGCCTTGAAAAACGCAAACCAAAACAACAACGTTCAAACTCCTGTCAAATTATGCAGCTGGAGACCAAACAATTCGTTAAAAACTTTTTTCGTAGTTTTGTTAAAGACAACGGTACCTCGAATATCCCACGTATCTTTATTGATTTTGTCCATTTGAAGCATAGTCTTTACAGTTTTATTTTTTTGTTCCACTCAAAAGGTCTTATACTAATGGAAATAATTGTCCCCTCTTGTATATCCATGATCATTCTCTATCTTAGTCGGTGTGAAATTTTATTTAAAATCACCTTACAAACTCAATAATCGTATAGATAAAACTCGTCAGATTGGGATATTTCCTTTGGTTTTTAATTGATTCAAATGGTACATATATACAAAACAATTTCATGTTTGCCTAAATTTAATAAGCAAATAAACATAATAATATTTGCCTAATGCAGGGAGAGAAACACGGGTGGGAAGAAGAGGCTGGATAAGAAACCCTAATATATTACTATATATATTCTTTTAAATTTAATATTTAATTGGATTCGATTTAGGTTGAACCGACCAAAAAATCTTCTAACCCACGATCTGAACCGAATTTTCAGTTCTAAAAAAAATCAACCAAACCCAACTCGAAAAAATTTCTAACCCAACCTAACAAATCCAGTTTTTTTTTTAACACCTCTAAATCAAATTGCTTCTTTCTCAACACCTTAGTTAAAATATTTGCCAACTATGTCGATGTTGGAACATAAGATGGTGCAATTAAGGCCTTCATGGATAGCATCCCGAACAAAGTGACAGTCAACTTCGATGTATTTGATGCATTCATGAAAAATTGGATTATGTGCTATGTGTAAATATGCAAGCTCTATCGTAGAAAAGAGATTTTGTCTTTGGATGATGAACTTCCAAACTTAGAAGTAGATCCTTCAATCATTTCAGTTCACATACAAAAGAAGTCATTAGAACGATATTGTGCCTCAGCAGAAAAGCGAGCAACCGTTATGTTGCTTCTCAGTCTTCCACAAAATTGGTGAGTTTCCAAAAAAAAAAAGATAAAATAAAATATAAAGAGAGAAATACACTTTTGGTCTCTGAGGTTTGAGATAGATATCTATTTGGTCCCTCAAAATTCAAAATAAACACTTTTGGTCGAGTTTGAAACGAGTATCGATTTCGTCCATGAAGATCCAAAATGAACACTTTTTTGTCCTTTAAGGTTTAAGAAATATTTCTAAATGGTCCGTGGGAGTTTCTTTTGACTGTTAGTTGACTAACCTAAAATGATGCGGCGGTTAAATGAGTAGTTTGACAAAATAAATTAATTTTATATTTATTGGTTAGTTTTATTTTTTCAAATCAACTATTTAACCAAGAAAATCTAAAAAGCTTCTAGTGAGGATTGAACTCACAACCTTTTGCTTATGAAGCGAACGCACTACCACTATGCTACAGAAAGCAATTTTAATTATAAAATTACTTACAAGGTTAACAACTATTTTTATAATTCAAAATAGAGTAAAATACTTAACAATTTTAATTTTATAAGATGCCAAATCTCTTAATAATTTTAAATAGGATAAAATAAATTTGTAGTCCTGACCTAAATCCCTACTCACAAAAAGACTCATTGATTTTAGTGCTAATTAAGTTAGTTAAAAGCAATTTTTACCATTTTAAAACTCATCTAAAATTCACCCCAATATTTTCATGGTCATCTCCATTATTGAAAATTAAAGTGAAAAATAAAGTACCGGGACACTCGAAGTTCAAATATGTACAAATAAATTAAAGGAGGTGGGGCTCTTTCTGTCGTAAGGTTTTTTCCAACTTTTTCTTTTTTTTTTCTCTTTTTTTTTTCTTTTTCCAAACAGTGACTTTTTTTAAAAAATATTTTTAAAAGTAAAACTAATTATTTAAATATTACAAACTACAAATTAGAGTTAAAAATAATGTGTATTTTATTCTTCCGTCTAGCTATTTATCTATATATCAGCTAGAGACGACCTTCACAGGTGGAGCCAACCACGTAGTATTTTGTAAATACGACCATGGAGACCTGTTTTTCTTTTTTTTTTTCTTTTTTCAAGTATCTATACATGCATAGACTACATCTAATGGAGGTCACCTATTTGAAGGATAATTTTTTCTGCCAATCCTCCCAAAATTGTAAATCCCCTCCCAAATAATTAGTGAATAACAGCATGTCGTTTCAAGAGATAACATGTCACGAATGATTCTTGGAGATGGCGTATGCCGTCTTTTCCTGAGACTATGAACGGGTGCATTATTTTTAAAATTAGTTTGTAATTTATAATATTTTAATATTTAACTTTATCTTAGAAATATTAATAAAAATAAAGTCCCAAATCAGTGCACCTTAAAATGGGGAGAAAAGTAAGGAAAAAGGAAATAAACAAGAGAGGAAATAAACCAGAAGAAAAATCTAAAGAAGAGCGAGAAGAATAAAAAAATATTTAATAATTGTGCTTAATAATTTCTTCAATGTTTATTTGAAAATCACAAATCACTTTCATTAAACGACAAAGTTGACGTGGTAGATAAGGAAAGGAAGCCGAGCATCTATCTCCCGTACTAGTAGAAATTTTTTAATTAGAGATGGAGTCGAGTAAGTTTAAATTAGTTTCGTATAGTAAGGTATAACTTAAATGACGGGGACCATTTATTTTCACACGTAAATTGAGTGGGAAGGAGAGTGACTCAAATTATCTTGAATGTCTGGATATCATTTTGGAAGAAAAGTCTTGTAATGGCTCTAATGTAAAACAAAACACAAAAAAAAAAGATTGTGAGCCCTCTACCCCATCAACCTCATAGATTTCACCTTAGGTAAGAAATAAATAAAAATTTAAAGGTTGATTCTTGTTTTAGTCGTGTAAATTTACTCTTATTTTATTTTTGTTTTTAAATTTTAAAAAATTAATAATGTTAGTTCTTTTAATTATTCTACCATCAATTGTTTAGTTAAATAGATGTGATAGTTTTAAATATGTATGTTCCCATCTTTGTTAACATATACATTCAAGCCTCATAGACTATGTGAGGTGGATTATTAATGTGTATTGTCATCTATCAAATCCATCAAAACTATCTAATAGATGACCAAACTGAGCACAGTTTAACGGCAATTGGCATATATCTCCAACTAATAGGTCGTGAGTTCAATTCCACGTGTTGTACTTCAAGAAAAAAAAAATACTATCTAATATAGATATGGATGACAGCCAAAGCAAGCATAACAATATATAGATAGATGACGTGACTTTGTGGAAATGTATTAACTACATGTTGACGTTTATTCTAAAAGAGTTTATGTGGTTTCAATATATGTCACACGGAGACATCAACTCACACATTCAAAACTCTATATATCATCCATCATTCCATCTATTATTAATTAACAATCGGTAGCAAAATAATGACAATATTATTTAAAAAAATGGTAATTTTCTCTTTAATGTGTCCGATATTAAAATATTTAAAAGTTGAAAAACTAAAATAAGATAAATTACAGACCCAAATTGAATTTAAACCAAAGTTTAAATGACATTTCATAAATCAAATCTTTATGAATGGCAAACACCACAAGTAGCAATAGCATAATTATGGACACAGCTGAAAGCCTTAAAAATTTAACTACTGGAGAAGAATTCAACAGATTCTTTGTTGTTGTTGCCACAATAATTTCCCAAGACCTGTTCAATTACCAGATTGGTCATATGAGCAATGAGCTCGGTTTACAACAGTGAAGGCTCCATCAACAATTAATTAATTGTGGCCACTCACAAACTTAGACGCATCACTTCCTAAATACAAAGCAGCTTCTGCAATATCTTCTTCCATTAACATACCTCCACATTTCAAATGAGAATAATGATTTGGAAACTCATCGCCATCTTCAAGCTTAAACAAGTCCCTAATCATTTGTGTGGGCACTACCACAGCTGCATTCTTCATCAATCCCACCATTCCATGCTTCGAGCTCGTGTGTATGCATGCGGGCACGCCCCGCCAATGACCGAGCAACTGCTTGCGGTCATGATTATGCTGCCCCGACGAGCCTGGATCATTGCTCACGCCGCTTGTTTCGTCCCAAGAAAGGCTCCAAGGAGGTTGACATTGAGAACTTTTTGAAAGTTTGATGATTCGTTTTCGAGAATGTTGAACTTTAGGTCTTCAAAAATGTCTGCGTTGTTGAACATGATGTCGAGCTTTCCGTACTTGGAGATGGTCGTATCGACAGCGTTTTCGACATCATTCTCTTTCGTTACGTCGCAGTGGACGAAGGAAGAAGATGAAGGGCATAGATGGTTGGAAAGAGAGTGGCCTAAATCGTCTCTTGTAGTGTATTCTCCAATTCCTCTAGCCCCACTGGTGATTAGTGCCAGTTTACCTTCTAGTCTAATAGTAATTATATATGTACATTGATAAAATTAAATATATATAAGATAGTGCATGACTCTCTAAACGACTCTATGGTAGGAACTAAATTTATAATTTGACGAATAAAAAATTGGGTTTATTTATATAATATATTTTTTTAATTTTTACATAAAATAATATATAATAAGTAATGTTTTTTTTTTCTCATAAGTTAAAAGAAATAAAGAGGGGTGGCACCGCCCTTAGTACATGCGCCCTAGACACCAGACAAACTTGACAATGAAAATTTTTTTTTTTTCTTGAAAGGGGACAGTGAAATTTCACTTCAAGTACTTAGATTTTAATTTTATAACCAAAAAGGGAAAAAACTAAAAATATTGTATGAGGTCTTGTTATTGCCTCAAGCTACCTCAAGAGATATTTGTCCAAATTTCTACATCAATTTAAACTTTAGTTTCATTGTCGTTTTTTTTATATAGTTTGGATTAAATCTTTTCAAACATTTGCGAATAATGAGATTAATTATTTTAGGATATGGAGGAAGATCCACTCCTTTTCGAATGACCAATTTCGTCCAATATTACTCAAAAATCTACCTAAAAGGAGAAAAAAAAAACTAGAAGGAAGATGATCCACGACAAGATAAAGAAATTGTTAAAAAAAAAAAACTTAATATAAGTATCTTTACCTGTCGAGACAGAAATATAAAACTTATATGATGAGAAGGAGTTAGAAAACTTGATTTTTAGAACGAATCAATTCTCGGGTTTATGAATATTTAGACCATACAAAAACTAAAACGAGATTTAAACCTGGTTGCAGCGGCCGGAAGCAAGTGAACGCCCATGGTGTCTCTCTATCTCTCTCTTTCTGTGTTATATACTTGAGTATTTTGGCCCATTGGCATCAACCAGCTTGATGTATAGGAGTTAATTTTTAAATGATTTTTAGCAAAAAAAGATCAAAAGAAAGCAAAATTATTGGTGATTTTATTGTTTTTACTACTTTTCAGAAGTACTTTCGTTTACCTTCAAAAAAACACACCAAAACAACAATAATGTTCAAACTACTGTCAAATTCCGGGGTGAAATTTTATCGTGTCGGTACGAACCGAAATTGTTCATTTTCAATTAGATATCGGGTCGGGTTGGGTCGGGTAGTTTTCGAGTTTTTTTCCTCATATCATCTCCCTCCCCACTCGAAAGCTTTCTACCCAATTTCCAGATCTGCAACAAAAAAAAAGAACCCACAGCTCCTCTCGTCTCTCTCCCCTCCTCATCTACCAAATCCAATCTACCAAATTTGAAAAAACCTCAACATTATTCTCCTTCTCTTTGTTTTTATTTCTTGTTTTAAAAATTAATCTTATAAAATGTTGGGACAATGGAGCCAAAACAGTAAATTCATATACTATGAAGAAAATTATTTTCAACACTATTATCAATTCCTACAAGGGGTAGGATATTATTGTCGATTACAATATTGTTTTCCTATAACAATTAGGATATTTCAGCTCTTATAAATAGAGTCATGTTAAGCTTTCTTTGGTACAAAATCCAAATAAAAGAGACTTTAGTGAAAGTGGGCAGTGTTGAAGATGAATCTGTATCCCATGGGTTTAGTGAGTGTTTTTCATTCCTGTACCTAAGTAATTGTATTAGATTACTTAAGAAGCTAGGAGGCTTTTGTTAGGATCAAGGGATATTTTTGGAGAGAGTTGTTGTTTTTTTTAAAGGAGAAACCATTTCATGGTGAGAGTGTGTGAAAAACATACAAAAGAATAAGACTATATAAAAGCGCTCCAATTTAGCGAAATGGTAGATAAATTATAATTACAAAAAGGACGAGATTTGAGGACCAAGTTGATGCCAAGACTTTAATATCCTCCCAAAGTTGAGTAGAAGAGCGAGATTTGCCCAAAAAAGATCGGTTGTTTATTTCCAACCAAACACTCCAAAGAATAGCACCAATACCATTTTTCCAAAGAATGGATATATTGCTTTCAGATGAAGGGTAGAGAGTCTCGGTGAGGAAAAACTCAATACGTCCAGGAAGA